TGCCCGGCTGACCTTTACCAAAAACTAATCAGCACGATTCCCAACCAATATCTTCCGGTTTTTGAATTTTCTGAATCGATTCAGAATTGCGTGCTAAAACGTGGACGAATTTTTTTTCACTTTTCTGCTCTTTATAAAGGAACGGCTTGGACGATCGTTGCACAAAACTCAGAAACGATAGTCCTCATCGAGATACATCTAATGGCTTTTGAATTTTTGAAATCGATCCAGCCGTTTTTGAGAAAACGGCGATTTACGGCAAAATGTCTGTTGATGCACACGCACACACATACATACTTTTTCCAAATTTGGTCTCATCGGATTCAGAATGGCTTGAAACGTCGAGAAAACATAAAATTAGCGAATCGGATTTTTTGATGAAAACATAAACTTCTCCTTCGGGAAGTTAAAAATCACATAAAACATTTGGTAAATTAGCATTTCCAGCAAACAAATATATATTCACAAACTCAGATACAATAGAACTTTTTCCAAATTGTTTTTCTGAAACAGTACATTTGAAGTCTGTCGTTCACTTGTTCACAACTATTTTCCCCCACGTGTCAGACTATGTTTCCACTAATTATTTTCCCATTTCCTCCGTTTTTCCTTTTTCCCAAAGAATTTCCGAAAATATACGTCCAAGACAGAACATGGTATCTCTGCCGCCGACATTGCGTGTTAACATCCACACGCGCACACACTTCTATTCTGATTGTTTTCGTAGAAACGTATATATCTCTTTGACGGGTCCATGGATGCCTTGTATTTCCTACATCTAAAGAAACCCTATTTTCTACCCTATTTATCAGCTTGATAAGTTTCTTAAGAAACGACCCTAATATCATCATTATTTCGTCTGTATAACCATTTGGATATACGAGTATACTGCCTAAAGAAAGTTATAGATAGACAAACCGTGAAATGGTAAACTGATATAGAGATTAAATATTATGGTAATAATACATAATTACATAATTAATGTAACCATATGAATGAATGCATCATAGGATTTTTATATTTCCCAAAAATTATTAAGGTAAATCGTAAATATGTATACGAGTATATATGTATATGTGTATATGTATATATGTATATGTATATGTATACATATTTCATTCACAACTTTATCGAGCATTTTTGGAGATTTTTGAGATTATGGTATAAGTTTTTCATTTTAATTTTGATAATTTTTAAAATAGATTTGTTTTATTCTTTATTAATTTGAAAATGCAAAATTTTGAATAATATCGATACTTTGGAAAGAATAATTTTCAGATTAATTTGAAAAAAAAATCTGAAATAAAAAAAATATTTTTTGCACATTGGAATTTTGAAAAATATCGAAACTTTGGAAAAAATAATTTTTTGATCATTTTGATAAAACAAAATGTAAAATAAAAAAGATGTGCATATTGGTAACAAACACTAAGTAAAAGTTTGATTTCGCAAACAAAATACAAATACTAAAATTGCTTGTTTGATGTATATATGTGATCTTATATACACCAAACATACATAATTTTAAATACCTGTGCTTAGAACTTTTGCTCAGCATCTTTGATAAATCTAGACCTGCGTTTTCAAAATTGTAATCAATTTCTCATTACCTCAATACAAGTAAAATGTTTTTTGAATCATTTTCAAATTTTGAATTGTTCTCAAAAGCTGAAATACCGTTTTGGTTTTGTCTCAAAATGTATCAAATATTTATCAAATCAGTTGATCTGTGTGCCCAAAATCGTGTACGGAAAATTGCATCTAAATATACATACACATAGAAACACACATAATCATCTCGCCTAAGGTATGCAAAAATGTTCAGAAACTTCTGAAACGTAAAAATAGACAAAAATTTTTTTTTGATTTTTTCGTGATTACTATAACTTACCTTACTCGATGTTAATTTAATTATTTTAATATTTTGAATTTTAATTATACTATTCTTATGTGCATTTTATTGATTATTTCAGGTTGCTTCTGACAAATAATAATTAATAGCCATATACAAAGATTATTTTCAAATCAATTATAAATATTCATTAACAATCATTTTATTGATAAAACACATTAGTTATGTTGTTTAATTTATTTTCAATATTCACAAACTACGTATTCAAAATTGTTACCCCTAACATTTAAAATAATTTTGCTGCTCAAAAACCTGAATAAACTAATTTAAAATGTTTATGTCAGTAAAATTCATTTTTCATAATAAGTAATTAAATTTATAATAAGTTATTCAATATTGATTTAATCCCATATACCTACTAAACCATGTAATTTGAATATTTTTAACTTCCCGAAGGAGAAGTTTATGTTTTCATCAAAAAATCCGATTCGCTAATTTTATGTTTTCTCGACGTTTCAAGCCATTCTGAATCGAATGAGACCAAATTTGGAAAAAGTATGTGTGTGTGTGTGTGTGTGTGTGTGTGTGTGTGCGTGTGCACCAACAGATTTTTTGCCGTAAATCGCCGTTTTCTCAAAAACGGCTGGACCGATTTCAAAAATTTAAAAGCCATTCGATGTATCTCGATGAGGACTATTGTTTGTCAGTTTTGTGCGACGATCGGCCAAACCGTTTCTTCGTAAATAGCAGAGAAGTGAAAACTCTTTCGTCCACGTTTTAGCCCGCAATTATGAATCGATTTTGAAAATTCAAAAATCGTTCGAAAGATATTGGTTGGGAATCGTGCTGATTAGTTTTTGGTAGAGATCGGCCGGGCCGTTTTCTTGTAATAAAGTTTTAAAAAAAAAAATTTCGACGATTTTTATGATTATTTTTTTGACGATAGATACCATAGTCTTCTAGATCATACTAAAATATTACGGCCCTACGACAACAGGTTCAGCTTTAAAAATTCGTCAAAGTTTGCAAAAATCAGTATGGTCTTTTTGGCATTTGTCAAAATTAGACTTTTGATCGACGTTTTCTCAAAAACGCCTGAACCGATTTTGGAAATTTAAAAGCCATTTGATGTATTTCGGTGATGACTATCGTTTGTCAGTTTTGTGCAACGATCTGCCAAGCCGTTTCTTTGTAATTTGAAAAAAAGTGTTGAACTTTTCGTCCACATTTAAGCTTATCCTACCGAACCGATTTTGAAAAATCAAAAACTGTTCGAAAGATATCATTTGGGAATGATGCTGATTAATTTTAGGTGAAAATCTACCGAACCGTTTTCTTGTAATTAACTGTTAAAAAATTTAAGCCTTTTTTCATGGAACTTTTTTTGGCGATATACATCATGGTCTTATAGAACTTACTGTAATATTACGGCCTTACAACAAGTAGTTTAATTTTAAAAATTCGTCAAACTTTGCTAAAATTATTATCGTTTTTTTTAAAGTAGGATTGATGAAGTATATTATTTACACTTTTTTTTTGATTAAGTCGATTATTTACACATATCGGGAAGTTCATGTAATTTGCCTCATGGCTAAATACCAAACCAACTAGTTATATTTTAAACTTGAAGAATTGCGTTCATAAAATGTGTTATTCCAAATTTAGATAAATTTGAATTCAGTTATTAAATTTTGGTAGAAATATCACATATGTATATATTTTGCAATTGATATGAGATTTATTCATAATTTTGTAAACACACTCTGTCTTTCATATCTGAAATCTTGAAATGAAAAAAAAAATGCTGTAGAATTCATATAACTAGATACTAATAATAACTGAATAATTTTGAGTTGGCTTTGAATATTTTATAATTTGAATATTTTTATTGATCAATGATCTATAACAAAGAAATATTACATTACCCATATAATTGGCGGTTTGAAAAAACACAAAATCTTTGTGGTAAAGAAATTTTAAATTACTTTTTGAATTATAATACGTATTTCTGTATTTCACTTTTTAAATTATTGTGGACAAAAATATATACGTTCTCACAAATTTGAATAAATCCGAAAACAGTGGAATTATTATAAATTTATTTATGACTTTATAATTTATAATTATAGAACATAAGTAGAACTAATCGCTATTCTGACAAAAAAAAATTTTTTTTTATTTTATTGTACATAGCAAACTATACACACAGTATATTAAGCTACTTCACAAGTATACAAAATTAAAATTGATAAATATTTTTAAATTATAAAGTTAATAGATAACTAGATAATAAACATAGCATTTTCAAAACTTGAATGTTTTACTGAGGCAACATATAGTTGTAATCCGTGAACTTTATTTTTTTTATCTTTATTTAATATTAATTCTATGACTTATTTAGTAACAAGATCTTTTTGCGGACTAAACAAATTCAAAGTTGTTAATTTCAATATTAAAATGTTGTATTAGAAATGCGTAATTTCTTACTAGAAGTTAATACAGTTCAATTTAATGTAAAGTCTAAACTACATATTTTTAAAAGTTGTGATATCTGATTTATATCCTCGTCTTACTGACCCAAAAAAAAAAACTATACACATTCAAATAAATCCAATGCCTCTATATTCACAAACTATTTATTTCACTTTATTTTTTCAATATATTCATTTTAAAAATCAATCGATTTAATCTTCAACGTGTCGTAAGCAAATTGCTTTAATTTCCCGTACCGTAATTAAAAATCTTGGTATGAAACCCAAAAGTCAGCACGTTTCCTTATCAATACGAATCGAATGTTTTTTGAATTATTCAAATCGGTTGATCGGTGTTCGCGAAATCGTCGATGAAAATTTGTATCCGCACACACACACACATATATACACACACATATACAAACATCCATTTTTTGTAAGGTATGCCAAAATGTACAAAAACCTTCGAAACGTAAAGATATGTGAAAATTTTCATTTTCGATTTTTTTTGCGATTACTTTAACTTACCCTATGGAAAGTTAAAAATATACGCTAGAACAAATTCTGAATTTTTTTAAATTAAATTAATTTTTTAAAATAAAATAAAATTTATATTTATTGAAATGATTCAATGCAGTATATACTAAACTATATGATTTTTATTTTCTAAATTTCAGATCAATATCTTCTCCATCTTGGACCTAAAAATAAGTGTGCAAAAAACATATGTGTATTAACAAATTTAAACAAGTGTGAAACCAGTGTTAAAATGTAGTGCATCAAAAGTGACCCTTTTATCACTCCTAAAAATGCTTTACCACCATCACTTTAATCATCCAGTGCAGTGACCTCTAAAGTTCGAAAATTAATTTTCTTTTACCTAATTAATTTTCTTTTACCAAAATGGCTCGTTTTCTATTAATTTTTATTTTCGGAGTGGCAGTGTTGTGCGTCACCGCAGTCGAATCCGAAAGTCCGGACCCGGATTCGGATTTTCCGGTCGAAGAGAGAGAAAGTAGAGGCTGCTACGAATCCGGAAGTATAGATGCGGCGACGGATAGACGGCACCGGAAAGGTTTGTGAGAATTTATGTGTTTAATTTTTAATTTAATAGAAGGTATAATTAATGGTGTCTATGTAGAGGATATATGAGAAAATTATTTATTTAAGTCAGTACGGAAATTGATAAAATTGAGTCACAGTTACTGCGTAGTAGAGGTTCAGGTCCTACAAGGAAAAAAGAGTGCGCGTACGGTTCACATGCGATTGAAGTAAAACTTATTTGCTACTGTACAAGATGGCGTTTAAGTTAAAAATAAATACATCATATAACAATTTTGAATAATGTTTATTAGTAATAAGGTAACGCTTGTGATGCACAAATTTATTAGTTTCAACCAGTATACACATTTATATAATGATAAATCATAAATTATAGATTTATAATAGCATTAAAAATATGTATAATAATTAAAAACAATAATGTAATTAAAGTCATATTTTACATATGACATGATCGGTTTGTCATTGTAATGAGCATTTAGAAACAAATTTTCATTAGAGAAATGAAGTAATTGTTGATTTATAAATTCTATAATATTCGATCACACAGCGGATTATGTTAAAAAACGCCTAATCAAATATTGTTTTCGCAACTTCACTCATCATGTGATAATTGTATTTGAAGAACTTCATGTAATTAACATTAACATACATTTATTGACTGATGGTATTTTTTTACTTTTTCGCTGGCGATATAAACTCATTATTTGAACAGCTGTAATATCTGTTTTGCATAAAAAATATTTTCGATTTCAATAATTTCAAAGATTTATAGAAACTACGAATAATTTAGAAATTATTTCAATAAACTTATGTTTCATGCACGGCGCAAATGCTGCACTTGTATTATTATTTTCATTATAATTATTTACAAGGGACAGGGTAAAATATTTTTCTGATTCAGGCATTTTTCATTGAATCAATATTTGTACTACAATGTAACTTTAAAATGTTCATTTATCTATGCCGATTTCCTTGCTGATATCGGTACGCATACAACGTTGATGCTGGTACGCATACGACAGATCTTTATTGACATATACGACAACTAATCACAATCGGCCCGTATAGAAATGATATCAGCGAGAGCAAATGACGAATCATTGGCACTCGACTCTTATCTTATCTTATTCGCCGTATCGCATTTCCGTTGCATTTGTACGGATTTACACTCTAGTCGTGCCTAAAGAAGTTTTACTTCAAAAACAGAGCTAGTATAACACTGCATATAAAAATTATATATGCTCTCATTAATTTAAGATATTTCATATATATATAATACTTAAATTTGCATTAAACATTTATTCAAAATGATTTTAAATAAATGTCGTTATTTTGTTTAGGAAAACTTGAAAATCCTCTAGATGAATAATGTGGCACATGTTGTTTTTTTACTTGAACTGTCAGAAATATATCAAATATATTTTTTATTTTTGAAACTGATAATTAATGTTTTGAACTATTATCCTTCAACTATAGATTTTTACAAATTGCAGGTATAAAATTATTTATCTGGAAATGCTTTTCCTAATTTTATATAATTATAATTTGAACTATCTATACCTGATCGCGCGAACGATATTAAATTCATAAAAATGCGATTTTGTTATATTAGTTACTAAAATGGATAATAGCGCACGTAGCCTCTATTGATGATTGTTAAGCTATATAAATTGCATTATCGAGTTAAATATTTCATTCAGCATTCGAATATATAATATGAGGTATATTTGGACGTTTATTTTCTGTGAAAACCTAATATCATAGCACATACGACATATCAAACAACCAACTCTTGGAATATGCAAATAAAAATTTTCACTTACTACACATGTATAGAAATATGTTTATTTGCAATTTTTCCTAAAATTTTCTAAATCTGTACCCTTTTACCACATTGGAGGCAAATACCCAATGTCTCGTTTTTTAAATTTTCACGAAATATAAGCCACATTATTTGCCCAAAGCCAAATACAAATTTCATGGGCCCATTCTTACATAGATTGTACCTTAATATTAATCATCAGCATAGTTAGAATAACTATTAATTTATTTCGTGTAAAATGTCTTTGTTAATTTAATACACATTTTTATTTACTATTATTTTATAATTTACATCTATGCTAGTGTAAAGATTCAATTAGTCCTTTTTACCCCGACCATATGTAATTTTTTATAGAAGTTATATAAAATTCTATTAAATCTATTAAATCTATTAATTCTATTAAAGATAAAATTAACATTTTATATCACAAAACAATTAAAGTAAATTAATGTTGACATTTAAGTCCCGCTCTACTCTAAATTTATAATAATTTTTATATTTAAATTTACATTTTATTTCCGCAGTATCCATGTATATCATAAATTAGTAGAGTGTCTAGTAAAAAATAAAGAAAATGACTTCGAAAAATTCAAAAAGGTGATTAGCACGTAAACGAAATAAAAAATGAAACTCGTAACAAAAAATAGGAATTTTCATTCATTTTGACAAATTTGAGTCGAAAATCAGCGAAAAAAGTCTACAGAAAGACAATTGAACGATTTTCAATCTCAAGAAAAATGAAAAAAAATGGAAGTTTGGTGGTAAGATCAAAAATTTGGGGTTGCATCAAAAAGTTGAGAAAATTGATCACAATAATTGAGATAAAAAATGTATTAATCACTATAATAATCCCTTTTAAAAAGGGGTTTGTGGTAAGAGGTTAAAAATGCAAGGTTTTATGTGTTTTTTTTATTAAAATTACAAAAAATAAAAAAATAAAATGTAATCAAATTATGCAAAAACTTGTCCAGGGATAAATCTAACAATTTCTCAAGTTTTCATGGCGATCAGGTGTATAATTCGATTGAAAACTGTATATTTTACAATCAAAGTCGAAAACTATAATCTCCCATATTTCCATCCCCAATTTCTTCTGATTTTTCCAACCTCATTTCACTTCATAATTATAATTATTCCCAAAAAAAAAGCAAAAACCATTTTCCTCTCCATGATATCTCGCGGTCTGATTAATGATATCGAAATATAGAGGGTCGAATAACGATGAAAAATGTAAAATATAAAATTGCTCATAATTCGTTATTCATTTAAGTGTAAGCCTCGAGTATTCTTTTTTTTTCAACCCGGAAATAATGAAATGAAAAAATTAAGTCGAAAGAAAAAACGCGGGGAAAATAAATTTGCATATTGTATCCACTTCATTATTTTTCTGCGGCCATTGAAGAAGTTATATGGTCGCTTTAAAGGAAATAAATGGAAAAAAATGACACTTTTGTTTGTTAACCACATGAAATTGGAATCTATGTTCAATGAAACATTATGTTCAAAGTAAAACTTCTTTAGATGATATCATTTCTATACGGGTCCATTGTGATTAGCCGTCGTGTATGTGAATAGAGATTTGTCGTTGTATGCGTACCGATATCAACAAGGAAATCGGCATAGATAAATAAACATTTTAAAGTTACATCGTAGTACAAATCTTGATTTAATGAAAAATGCCGGAATAAGAAAAATATTTTATCTTATTCCTTGAAAAAAAAATAAAACAAATTAAACATTTGTGCCGTGGACTATAAACGTAAGTTTATTGATTAGAAATTATTTCTATATTATTCGTAGTTTCTATAAATCTTCAAAGTTATTAAAATGGAAAATATTTTTAGTCAAGACAGATATTACAGCTTTTCAAAGAATGAGATTGTATCGCCAGCAAAAAAGTAAAACAAAATACAAGCAGTCAATGAATGTATGTTAATATTAACTACATGAAGTTCTTCAAACACAATTACATGATGAGTGAAGTTGCGAAAGCAATATTTGTTCAGGCGTTGTTTAACATAATCCACTGTGTGAACGAATATTATAGAATTTATAATCTTTAGAATATTTAGAAATATTACTAGATTCAGAGTATATAGAATAAGCATTTAGAATCATGAAGTAATTGCTGATTTCTTTTTGATAACAGGTGAAACTAAGTTTTCAAAATAATATATTTGATTGAACGGTACGGGAAGTCCAAAAATTTGTCTATGATTGATATATATGTAGCAGCCTATATTAACATTTAAAAATTTAGAAGCAAAATAATCTAGTCAAAATTTCCAATACTCAAAGTTCAAAGTAAAATCTTTGACAAGATGGTATATGAACGCAATACAAACTCATTATCAATAGCTTTTTTTATTGCGTATTTTTAGTTATCAGTATTAATGGAATATTTATATAAAATTACAATATTTGCATCCTTCAACATTTCCATCCAATCATACAAAAAATCAAGAAGCAGTGATGTCAAGTTTCACTTGAAAATAAGCGAAAATGTTTCTAAAGAACAAATATTTCTTTCTGGCACTGATGCATCTAATTAAAATTATATATCTAGTACAATAAAATTTGAAATATATTGAATAATATACTAAATGTTGCTTTTTATAAACCAAAGTTGTATGAGAGAAGTATCATCGAAACGGCTCATAGAATTATTGAGGGCTGATTCAAAATTAAAAAAAGTATTGAAAAACATTTTTTAGAACCACTCTTGTTATATTTTATATTTTCAAAATAAATCTAAAAAACATATAAAATATCGGAAATATGATAAGAGCTGTTGAGTACATAAATATACCGCATCAAAACAGCCTAAAGCAAGTACTGTGAAAAATGTTGCAAAACTTATATATATATATATATATATATATATATATATATATATATTCTAATAACCTTTTTTCTGGGGCAAACTCGTGCAAACTTTGTACTTAATAAAGTCTTTAAAAATGAAAAATTTGCATTCATCTCATCCGATAATTTGCATAACAAGTGAGTAACTACCTATCAGAGGGTGATATTTGATATTTTTGCGCATTAATTTTTCGTTCTCAAAATGAAGTAATGAGAAGGTTCCAGAAAACCGACCGAGTCGTTAAAATTACGACAGTCATTCTGAACATCGTTAAGAGACTGTCACATTGTTATTAATAACTTTGGAAAAGAATTTTTTGAAA